TGCCACGAGTGTGGCAGTTTCTTCGCAGTCACTTTCAGTGCCAGATCGCCTATTGGCGCAATGCAGCGTCAGTGCAAAATGAAGGCAGCTGAATAACTGGAGCGACTGATAACCCTCTCATGAAATGATACCCGGGTATTCAAGTTCATTTCGGTTTTGGTCAGAGAGGCAGTGAAGTCAAACGGCGAACCCGCTGAAAATGACTACCGTATTCGGGGTCAGGGGTACTAAACATCCCCCATAGCAAAGTTTCAGCCGAACTGGAATAAATGCATTTATCGTAACAGAGTTTTTTGAACGCGATTTTCGCCAACTTGTTAGGAAAAGTTTCCAGATTGTTAAAAAAATCAACTATATACACGATCGATACACAATAGTATGAGAGAATGCCACGATGAAAGCTATTACAAGAATGGTCAGTTGTGCACAAGGCTTGACCATTTGCAAGGCTTGAACAGACACAAGCCGGGCTGGGTGGCTATTTGCTCTGGCAGTTGTTCAGTCAGATGCGCAGTGTCAAGAACAGCGAAGGGAGGTACGTTTGGGGAAGCTGAACTGAAACGGGACGGTAGGTCTTCAGCTGAATTCAAGAGTTCGAAAACAGCGCCAGACATAAAAACAAAAATTAAGAAACAATGGCTAGAACTAGTGGTTCCATCAGAGAATCCCGTTGATATAAAAAGTAATTGTGATCGAAATAGAAGCTGGATTGCTGCTGTGAGAGCAATCAGTAAACTCCCACCAGCTTACTACATCAAAATTGTCAGTCATACGACACATCAATCTTCAAAGACATGAAAAATCAATGTGTAAAGCTTCTACGGAAAGCCATTGCAACAAGAAAGTTCCTTTGAGCGTTACCCCAACTGACCAGATCCACAGTACTTGGCTATTTTAACAGCTTCTAGCTTGCATATAAAAAAAGTTAGAATTTTCACCTCAACTTCCACATTGAATATCTCCTGCACTCCATTGATTCCGTCTGACACCAGACTGGTCCCCATATCCACTACTCGTCCTGGCACAGCCGCTACGACATCAGCAGCAGCCTTAACCTCATTTATTGCACTAGCTGCTCCGAAAACAACCCAATAAGCCAACGATACTGACATTTCGCCGAATATTTCATAACCTTGCTAGAGGTTACTTCACTCTATCCAAACGCTTCTTCAAAACAGAAATGATTGGAAAGTTCACGAAGTAATGAAAGGTACCTTTGCTTGATTTGCTGCAGCACTAGCCGCATCGCCGACCACTTTTACACCCGTCTCCAATCCCGTTTGCAAAGAATCTGGAAAGGATTTTGTTGACATGCAAGTCAACTTCAGAAGATTATAAAGTTAGTCATAGCCGCGAACTGCGGAAATTGGCAGCGCGATAGCAGACTAGCAAGATCTGTTGACTAGCCCATAAGTTCACTAAGGTGTTCACTGTGCAACTCTCCTTCCCAAGATAAGGTCTATGAGAACATCCGATGTACAGCATCGTTGTGTGGAAACGCATGGGGGTCATACTTTCCGGCTGGAAAGAAGGGTCGTATTTGGCCGTTTTTGGAAGAGGAGGGATCGTATTTGGCAGTT